TGGCATTTATGGTTGTTTTAGGAGGCATGAACCAAATACCTGCTTGTCCTCTGGTTGAAATTGAAGCCCAGACCATGATTGATTGGCACTGTTTAACATTGCATTTGGTGTACTTGGGATTCAGTCGCTGATTAACAGGTCTATAAACAAAAGAATGAAGAGGAGCAAACTGCTTTATTTGAATTTCATCTGAAAACATTACTCGCGCCCAATCCAACTCTGTCCAGTCTTTGTGCTTTTGACAAAAGGCAATCCGATCCTTGATGTTCTTGGCAGAAAGCCTAGGTTTAATAGAAGGACGCCGGGCATGCAGGTTGAAATCAGAGGATAGTCTTTGTCTGATAGTTCTGGAGGAAACAGTAACAGAGGATGGCAAGTTGTGTTGTATTACTGTGGATGATGACATCGGAGAATTAGTACAAGTGCGATGAATCAAGCGGTCAGTCTGCATAGAGGTACAATTTGGTCTACCAGATCTTTTTCAGGAAGTTAAGCTGCCAGTCTGCTGCAATTGAGTTATTGTGTTATGAACTGCAGTTTTAGAAACAGACTAACGTTCAGCAATGCTTCTTTCGGTGTATCCCTCCTCTTTTAAAATACTGATCTGTGCTCGAACTGATATTTGTAACTCACACATTTCAGTGAAAGAAAATTAATGCTAAAATCAAAAATGAAAATTGGAAGCACAAACAGCAAATGCCAGATTCATTAAACAATAACTATATAAATATGCAATACAGTATGTATGTATGTATGTAATGCATGTATATAACAACATAGTACCACAACAGCGCTAATATGCGTCAATCCTAGGACACTTTCAAGTTTATTATCTGCTATAAACTGTTACTTTATCTATAATTTGCCATCACGCAGTAATAAACTAACGCAAATATCAATGCGAAACCGAATAATATAGTGCATGATTCATATAAAGTTCAAAGAAGTTATGCATGCAACATACTACATATATGACAATTGTATTACTCATCAGTTTTCCTCACATCATCAGTGATGCTGACAATAAATTGTTGTGTTCTAAATTATGTTGAATTACTAATATGAATTGTATTGGAAAAAATTGACATGGTTGTTCATTAAATAAAATTTTATGGTTAAAATCAGTTTTTAGTCTTTTTCAACCCTTGCTCTCAGACTTTTGTCCAGTACTGTATATATATATATAGTAAGTAATATATTACTTTATAATAAATTCTGTTAATATTTAAAATTTATTGAAAAAAATAAGATTCTGTTTTTAATATAATCATTTTCTCCTTAATTATCCTTATTTTTTCTTTCAAAAAATTGTTGTTCGTGACAAAATCTCTTGAAAATTAGGAAAATAGCTCGTTAAATTTCCTTAAAATCCTTAAATTTAACCTCAGTTTTAATAGTGGGAACCCTGTATACGCTATTTTGTATATTTTTTAACATCAAAAGCATTATATAATTGATTAGGAAATGATTATCAACTTCTATCTATTTCAACGCTGACTTGAATTACTTCAAAAATTTCTAATATTATTGAAAACAAATTTATTTATTCAGTTTTTAACTCTCTTCCAAATAAGCTGAAATTATGTATCATATTACATGATGAAATATATGTTAAAAAAAGTTTGCTTTACCATGGTGGAATTATTTTTGCTAGATCGGAGGATAACCCAGTGGAATTGTCCAAATCATTATTAGGGGTTATGGCTGTTTAAATGGGGGTCCAAAGGTATTAATTAAAATGATACCAATATCAAAATTACGATCTGATTTTCTGTTTGAACACATTAATTTAACTAGTCAAATAATTTACTCAGTCAGTGCAAATGTAAAAACTATTATATGTGATGGGAATCGTGTCAATCAGGCTTTTTTTAAATTTACACATTTGTTCCGGGAAAACCATGGTTAACTGTAGATGGAAAGTATTTACTTTACGTTTTTGTACACCTCATAAAAAATATTCGTAATCTTCGGTTAATTGAAAAAACTCAGGAATTGATATTTGACGATAACGGAGTAACCAGGATTACAAAATGGACTCATTTAAAGCAGCTTTACAATGCAGAATCCAGAAGCTTTCTAAAGTTATCTGACCTGAATGAAGCTTCCATTTCTCCTAAACCTGTTGAATGACAGTGTGTATTAATAGTTTTAAGAATTTTTTCTAAAAAAACTTACACTGCTCTTTTGCAACATCCTGACATGATTCATATTGATATTAACAACACTGCTATATTTATCAATAAAGTTGTTATTGGGTGGAAAATTTTAAATGTCAAAGCCATTAGTGCTGATACAAGGCATAATGATCCTTTGCAGGCTGTTATCAATAATCCTGATGACAACTGTTTAAATTTAATACTACAATTTGGTGATACGGCTTATATTTTATACAATTTGGTGATATGGCACTTACATCCTGATGACAACTGTTTAAATTTGATACTACAGTTTAGTGATATGGCTTATATTTTATACAATTTGGTGATATGGCACTTATATACACTTACATTATACAATTTGGTGATATAGCACTTACATTGGCAGGTCCTAAAGGTAAACGTATTAAACAGCTTTCTAAAGATTCTGCAATCTGTATACATCAAACTTGTTATGGACTAGAAGATTTATGTAGATATATTGCAAACTTCATGGTCAATTTATTTCAGATCACCTGGAAAAAGAATATAGTATACTTCGTCAAGGTTTTGGTGGTACATATTTTCTTAGTATTCAACAAGTTATTGAAAAATTAGGTATCAAACATGCATCTTTACTTTTGAAGATAAATGTAGACATTGACAATTTTAATGTGAAGTCTGGTCATCAATGTGCATTTTGTGATTTCAAATTGTTTGAAGACTGCTAGTTTTCTAAATTTTTGGATCGTGGTGGATTAAAAATTCCAAGTGAAAATTGGTGCCAATGGACATTTTTTTGTTTTGTAGTTTTTCAAATAGTTAAAGATCATGTATGCAGAAAATCTTTAAGTAGTATTTTTATGATTATATCAGACTATTATTTATTGGATATGGAAGAACGTCAATGTGTAATATTGAGTAACATTTAAAAAAAAAAACTTATGTACAACTGTCAATCCAAGATCTGGCAAAGAACCTGCACTAAAATTATTAAAAATCTTTTAAAAGTCTACTTAACTGTCTACTATTTATAATATATATAGTATACTATCTTATAAAAGATTTATAAAAGTTTCATATAGTAGTTGTTTTTTTTTCAGATTTTGTTACCAATTTTAATCAAAATTTATTTAGTATTTTTTGTTTGGTTTAATAACATTTCTACTCAATATAAGAAAATATCAATTTTGTATTTAGCTGTTAAAGCCAAAATTAAAGGTGAAATAATATAATTATGTAAATGTGTGAAATTTGAAATTAGAAAAAATTTCTTTGCCTTTTTATTTACATTGTTTATTACTTAAGATTAATTTTCTTTTTTCATCAAAAAAATTATTAAAAAAAAAAAAATTATTAGGCTATACAGAGCCTAATTAAAATTACTTTTTAGTTTTAAAATTACGAAGTTATTATCTTTTTTGCCGTATAAAAGTAGGCCTTCACAAAAAAATCCGGTTGCGCGATGAATAGGTCTGTAGTAGAGAACGCTATGGTCAATACCCATACAAAAAATTAGAAAATTTTTTAAACAGTTAAAAAAGCCATTAACTTTAAGCTTAATTGTGATAAATGTAAGACAAATAAATTTCGGTAATTTTTTGAAAAATGTTTTTACGGATTTTTATAATATAATCTGGATAATAATTGTTGATTTAAGAAATTTATATTTAGAATCATCATTATGACAATATTAATTGTCAACCAACACATTAAAAATTGTTTTAAAAACATTTATAATAAGTGGCAAGGCTTAATTTACTACTACCCTCAGAAGACAAACTTTATGTTAAGTTATTTAGACTAGAGTAAAAAAGTTTTGGCTTTGAATTTTTATCTATCAAAGACAAACAAAAGTTAAAGGAATGAATTTAAAAAAAAAGTAAAAAAAAAATTAAATAATATCTTATAATACTAGTATATAACTTATAATAATAATAATATATAACAATAATAATAATGGTAGCAAAAGGAATAGTAAGAGATTGTGAAATAGATAAAATCTTTTCTGAGTAATCTCAGAAAAGATTTTATTTTTAAGTTTATTTTTTTAAGTTTATTTTTTAAGTTTGAGTTAAATTTAAAATTGTTTCACAATGCATTTATATTTTTAAATCAGAAATGTATAAAAGGTAATGTAAAGCAATAGAGTTTTTAATAATTTTTAAATAATTTTTTCTCTTTAAAGTGATTTCTTTGGTAGTAAAAAATTTTTTAAAAAATAAAAATCCTATCAGTTGGTGGCTCATAAGTTTTAATCACTTAAAAAAGTTATTTTAAAAATTAAAATTTACTCTTTTTATTAGTATTATAATTTTTCCAAACTTTAACTAAAAAATTGTTTGTTTATATAAAACAATAGTGAAACAATAAAACAAGTGATTAGTGATAATCTATGTCAAGCTTGAATTGAGTCTTTCTAGATGTATCTGTACATTGATTTATTTTAAAGGTACTTATATGAGGTAGCTGAATTTACTTAAAATGATTTTATATATCAGGGGTTATCTTTTTTCGGATATTTCCAGAATTCCAGATATTTTCCTCAACTTTTAGTTTTTCCAGATATCCAAGTTAAGGTATATATATTTTTGTAATATACTTCTTTATTAACCTTTTTCACTAAAAAACAATTTAAATTAAGAAAAGTTTGAAAAAAAAAATTTGAAAAATTTCAGCTAAAAGCAAAATTAAGAGGAAAACATACTCCAGATTTTTTCTGTATATTTTACTAAAATAATTTTTCGGATTTTTAAAATATGGTCTAGTTGATCTATAATATATACATACTCCACAATGCCAACTTTAATCTGCTATCTTATGAAATATATCCTATATTATATTACTTTTTTATCTTTTTAGTTACTGAGATGCTTGTTAATGTATTGAACATATGCACAGATGATGAACTTGATGATGAAGATGGTGAAGATTCCGCTAAAAGGAAAGAAGTTATTAAGAATAAAATCAGAGCTATTGGAAAAATGGCTCGGGTTTTCACGATTCTCAGGTATACGCTTTTTAATTTGATTCAAATAAAAATTTTTTTGCCAATTGCATCATTTCAATAAATTTTAATTATAGTAAAGTTCTGTCATGAAAAATCATGTCCTCAAACTTTATTAAAAAATTTAGGCTTTTTTTATAAATTAGCTTTTTATTTTATAAATTATAAATTATTGTTGAGCTAACTCATAAATGTAGATTGTTAAATAAATAGAAAAGCCCAAATCTGGGACTGCATAAGTCTTGATTTGTAAAAACAGGTCAACACCAGAAATGACATTTGTTTTTTTTGTTTTTTTAAATTGCTTCAACTTTTCCATGTCACTTTAAAAAATGGCAGTATGGAAACCTGTCCAAAATATAAAAATATGGATACCTTTTACATACTTTTTTTTATTATTTATATTTTAGGTGTTGGGTTATAGTACTTATGTTGTAAAATTTTTTTATTTTAAGTTGAAATTGTTTTTGAAACTTATTTATGGAAAAATTTTTCTAAAATACACTACCGATCAAAAATGTAGATTCACTTGATAAATTAATTTGCACCAAAAAAAAAAATTTTTCTCATTGTATTGTTTACAATAATTTATTGATCGTAATAAAATAATAGAAACATATGAGATTATTTTGATGATCGTGTAGTATTTTTTTTTTTTTTATTTTTTTTTTTTTAAACATTTTTCCAATAATTTTTAATTACTCATATTATTTGCAATAAAATAATTATTTAACAAAATAAGATGACATATAATGTCATCTTATTTTGTTAAAAAATTATTTTATCTTTCATCTTTTTTTTTTCTTTTCATGATTTTTCAAAGTATCCTTCTTTCGCTTTTATAACAGTAGCACATACTCTGTGCATTCTTAAAATAAATTTCTGCAATGATTCAGTTGATGTTTGATTCCAGCATCTTTTTATGAATAACCAAAGGTATTTTTGATTGGTTGGTTGTATTTTTCTTACATTTCTATCTAACTCGTCACACAATGACTCAACCTGGTTTAAATCAGACGACTGAGGAAGCCATAACATATATTTTAGTTTTTTTTATGTGTTTTTTTTGGCTGCAATATTTACATGTGTGTTTGTTTACATATGTGTTATCCTGTTGAAAAATAAATCCCCAATTTACAATTCTTTTTCCGCACAGAAATGCATAGTTTTTGTATTTATTTTATCCATAATGCCCTTAAATCGCACAAGGTTGAAAAAAAAAATTTCACTAATGTATCCCCAGACCATGACTGACCCTCCACCATGCTTGACTGTTGGGATCACACATTGTTTTATCTTGTGTTCTCCATTTAACCATAAAACATATAGTCAACATTTTCTTTCAAAAATTACAAATTTTGATTCATTGGAGATCAAGGCTTAAGAACATTGTTGAATTGTCCAATCTATATGTATTTTTGCCCATCTTAATCTTTTAACTTTATTTAGTTTTTGTAGTTATAGTTTTTTTGGTAAGAACACATCCTTTTAAGCTGCAATCGCAAAAACATTGTTTTACCATTGAAACAGATACTAGTGTTTCCCAGATGGAAGTAAGTTCTTAGCAAATTTTAAAAGCAGTTCACATACAATTTCTTTTATATTGAGCACAGATAAATTTGTCTTGGTGATTCAGAGTTGTTCTAGACCTCTCCAAACAATGATGACTCTGGTTACAGCTGATTTCACGCTTTCTTTGCTATGCTCTCATGGCTGCATTTTAAGAAGCATTGGTTTTTGAAGCAATTTTTTGTGTTAAATAACTTTCCTTGTGTAATGCCACAATAACAATAACACAATAACAGCTCATTTTTCTCACTTCTGCTTTTTTTTACTCTCCTTTAATCAAAACAAATTATATTTTTTTCTTCAAATTTTAATACTAGGACAAAGTTTTTTAAATTATTTCAACGTGCATAACAATTACTCTATAGATGTAATTTAGTTACTATGGTTTCCTGAATTGAAGCTGTGCTGATAGACTTTCATTTAACATTTATTTTTAAGTCACAAATCTTTAACACCCACCAATAGTGATACCAACACCCAATAGTGATACACCCGTCATTAGTGTAATCTGGCTACACCAATAGTACATACACAAGTTTTTAAAATTTTTATATTTTATTCATGATAAATTTTAAAATAAAGTTTTCTTTTTCTATTAGGGAAGAAAGTGAGAGTGTATTAGAGTTAAAGGGGCTGACTCCATCAGGTGCACTACCTGTAGGTATTCTATCAGGAGGAAAAGATTCCCTAAACTCAGGTAATTGTCTGTTTTTGTTTTAAATAAAATGTAATGTATTTATTATATTATTTTATTTGAAGTAAAATATGCAAAATAAATATATAAAAATTTATTGCATTTTTTGCATTTGTGTAGAGCAAAAAATGCAATAAATTTAAGAAGAAATATTAGGATAAAATGTATTTTATTGCATTTTAACTTTTAGAAATATAAAAGAAATCCTCTCAAAATTTTACTTAAATAGTATATATTTTATTCAATATTTTTACCTGGTCTTTTATTCTTCTTTTAAGCATCAGATTTCAGATGAACTAGATATTGATTTTGCTTTTTTCTTCTTTATTGTTTGACCTTCACCTGTATTCTTTTTTTTTTTTTTTTTTTTTTTTTTTTTTTTTTTTTTTTTTTTTTTTTCTCTCTCTTTTTTTTATTTTATCTTAAGTTTGATTTCTTATTCATACAGTTCTAAAACTTTTTTATTTAAAATTTATAACAGAAAATATTTAAAAATATTTTATAACAGAAGTTTATAACAGAAAAAGTTTATAACAGAAAATATTTAAAAATATTTTCTGTTATAAACTTTTCTTAATTTTTTGTATATAATCTACTTGCTTTGCACCTAATAAATATATTATTAAATTTTTATAAACTATCTTGTCAACCTTCTTGAACCATTTTTATTTTTCTGTTTATTACTCCCTTCTATTCTAATTTGTTTCTTCCTTTTATCCTAATTTGGCTAGTCCAATAAATGATTTATTATTCGTTTTCAGAATGTGAATGCAATTTTGAGGAAATGAAGCAATGTGAATGTGCAGGGTTTAAATACATAAACATTAATGTGACATGTGGCATTAACATGTGACATGATTGAATGATTGTTTAAGAATAAGCAAACAGCACATGCAACATCTTTCAGTTCATTCTCCATTTGAATATAGTCTTTAAAAGAGTTCATTTTGCCATCCAGATTTAGTTTAGGCAAATAACAAATTGCTATGAATATTTCATATGCACATATATCTTATTTTCTATCCAAGTAAACTTTTTTTTTCAAAATAACATGGATTTTTAACAATAACATCCATTAACTCCAAAGCATAGCAAACAATAATGTTTGACATTTTATATATATATATATATATATATATATATATATATATATATATATATATATATATATATATATATATATATATATATATATATACATTTTTATTTCTTCGCTGGCTAGAGCCATGTTTTTAGATTGTTTCTTTAAGTTTTGACTAATCGTTTGTTCTCGTTTTTTATATTTTTTGGTGGCAGTATAAACTGGTAATTATGAATATTTTGCAGTAGTTTTTGTAAATAAAAAACTTTATACTTCTTTCTATTTTTTTATTGGAGATACAGTCGAAATTTTTGCTTCCACTTCTTCAATAATATCACGATTTTCCTAGATTACTATACAAACATCGTTAATTGTGAGATGGCTTTAAAAAATTTCAATGAAAAGTTTAAACTTTTCCATTAGACCAATTTAATTACATAGTTGATGAATGTTCAAACTTTTAATTATAATAGTTTTTGGAATGGCTGATGACAATAGTTTATAAAAAATTTTATATGGTTAGTGAGACATTCAGAACATGCTGAGTACTCCAAAGCTTTTTTCCTTAAAAATAATCCTGCGAAAACAAATCTTTACCCTATATTAATTACCCTGGTTTAATGGAAAAGTGCTGTTTTTTTTTTCTTTTTTTTTTTCTCATATTTAAGTTAAAGTAATATTTTGATATAGGGTGGCCACAGCTCCTTTAAAGTCCTCTTTTTCCAGAAATCTTCTCTAAAATTCTTTATTATCCTATAAGTGCATCGGATTGTAAAAAATTGCTTTAGCAAAACCCCGTGTCATTTAACATAAAAAATGACATTATTGACCCCTGTTCAAATCCCATAAGTGTAGAAACATGGGCGTTAAATCTATTTTTTTTTTTTTAAATCCTTCTATTTTTATTTTGTAGTGTTACAGAAAAAATGCACTAAATTAGATGCTAAGTCTCTTCTATAATCTTCTAATATCCTCTTTTTCCTATGAAAATTATACGTGGCCACTCTGATATTTAAAATCAAGTTATTGATAGTATTAAAGTTATTTTTATATGGTCACTTAAACAAAGCCGATTTATTCTTATGTGGTCATTTAATTTTACTTTAAATAGTTCGTTAAATATATAAATTTATAATTATGATGTTAAAATGGAGTTTTGTTTTTAGCTTTGTCTGATCTATCAGTTGATGGTGGTCAACGTAATAAAATACAAGGCTTCGCCGATGCAAAAAGCTTAGATCGAATGAATGAACGCATGCCACCACGTAAAACAGATAAGTTAACGGGAAAAAAATGATAGTCGACTATATGCTAAACTGAATTTTATGCGACCCCAGACTGGTGGTTTTTTATTTAAAGGGAGGATTAGAATATTGAGCATTAGCTTCCATATTGGCGAATATAGCGACTTAGATACATGTTAAAGTACCTTGTGGGGTTTGGTTTAACATTATAATTAAGTTATTTTTATTATTATTAAATTTTTTTTATGTAAAGCTTTTTTTGACTGTACAATCTGTTAATATTTTTATGGTTTTCTGGCTGTACAATGGTGTGTTAATATATTTTATAGTTCATTGATTTTATCTAAATAAGCTTCCTCAATACCCAACGCAACTATAGATAGTAGCTATTTATTTTTAAATCGTTTTCATTGTTTTGAAAAATGGGTATTTTATGTCTCTAACTCTGTTTGATATCTGCTGAACTTGTTAAGCGACTATTTTTTCGCTTAAATTGAAGTAATCTATTGTATAATATTTAATGAATTTTGTTTTTTGCTTTAAGATTTTATATACGACTTCAAAGATAACAACATACTGCAATGGTTATTCCCAACCTTTTGGTTTTTGAGCTTCAAATATAATATGTATTCTTATGACGGTCTCGACTTTTCAAAGTTTAATATTCCTTTTTGTTAATTTTTTAATACTAATCAAATGTTACTAAGTAAATCGCATTTTGTCGAATTTTTATATTTGTGTTTTGCGGGCTATATGAAAGCATAAAAGTTTAAATTACGTGTTTTAAAAGTCTAAAATCCTTTCTTTTTTTTTTTATCCGAGTAAATTAAATATTTAAGTTTTTTTGACATATTAGCTTTTATTACTTTTTTTTTTTTATTTATTTATGCGTTTCGTTAAATACGTAATATAAAAGCTTCACCGTTATTCAAGTAATTATTATATTCTCTTCTCTTTTTTTGCCTCCCTTTCCAATGTTGTATATGTGATCAAAGTCGGCTTCGAACCTCGGACATTAAGTTCTGAAGCCAGAACTTTAACCACTACATCACGACTGCTTTTAAACAGATAAAGTGAAAGCACATGCTAGTAGAATTCAAGAAATAAAATGTTTTTATTTTTAGGGCTTGGGAAGGATAAAAATCAAACCTATTGATTCTAATCCGTATATGATATAAAGTTGTAAATAAGCCATATTCAATTAGCCATCATATTCAATCGTTTTTGTTATTATTATTCAGAGTATTATCGACTGCATCTAATTAAAAAAAAAGTGAATTAAAAGCCATCTATCGGTTGGACCCTTTAATCGTTAATTAAAAATTACAAATTTTTTTTATTTGCACGTGGAAGCTAATATGTTGTTGCTTGATTGTAATAGTAATAAGTATTGGTTACGATTGTTATCTTATTAAAAAGAATAAACAAATATTAACTCAAAAAAAAAGTTGTAATTTTTCATCGAAATCCTTCATTGTCACAAGTTTACATTTCAAACTGGATCGGTGCTTCTTAATTTTTTTTTTTTTTTTTTTTTTTTTACAATCAATAAACTTTCACATTGTTACGTTACAACTACATAACATAATATAATGCAACGTAAAAAATGTAACATAATACCACGCATAATAAAAGTGGTTTAACAAGTATAACGTAAATTAATAGTGTTTCTTACCATAAAAACTACGCGTATTTTTGAACAAAAAAAATTTTTTTTTTTTTGTTTCTTCAGATCATTAGGGCAGGCCATAGTCCCGCATAAATTTTTCAAAAAATTAATTTTACTGGTGGCTGCATAAAATATTGTTCCTTTTACTATAAAAATCATTTTTTGTTATGAAAGTGTTTATGTAGCACATCTCTAAGTACTGCAGCATTTCATTTTTAATGTGAATTGGAAATTTAAACGAAAAACACAATTCCTCCATTACATCTGTTCCGTTATTTAATTTATTCGGTTAAATACATACCAAGCGTATTTTTGTAGCGTTTTTTTGTAAACAAACCATGGCCCTCTGTACACGGTCGTTTAGATGTGGATTTAGTTATTATACGCAAGCGCAGTGTCAAATTCAAATATTATAATTTTAAAGATGGTGACGGCCTTTAGATACCAAAATTTTTTCTAAGTAGCAACAATATTTTTAAAGTTTTACTTAGTAGTTATTATTTGCATATTTTTGATAGAATGAAATAATAATAAAGATAATTGAATTGTTGATTCAAAAATGATAAAAACAATATAAAGATGTTTACATATATAAAAAACTGTGATTCTCTGCTACATTTATCTGACTGTTAAAAGCGTGATTTGTTTACATTTTCAAAACTGTTTTTCTAAAAATCTGAGCGATACAATTTAATAATTTTTACTTTTTTATTTCGAATAGTCTTATCTTGATTTTAAGTTGTTTTCAGATCTGAGTATTCAATTTTTTTCTGAACAAAAATAGAATTCACCCAACACTACTTTTGTAGATGTATGATACATTTATATTAAGGTATATAGCTAATATATATATATATATATATATATATATATATATATATATATATATATATATATATATATATATATATATATATATATATATATATATATATATATATATATATAATTATATGTGAATGATTATAATATAAATTATAATATATAATTATATGTGAATGACTATACTATAAATGCAAAAAAAAAAAGGTTAAAAAGTTCACAAGTTACTTATAAAGTATGTAAGATAAAATATTTATATATAAGTTAAATATAAATGTATTATGTTACATAGTTTATATAGCATTTAATTTTTTTTTTTTTTTTATAATATAGGTAATATAAACTATAAAATATAGTTTTTATAATATATCATAATCATTTAACTATATATTATATACAATTTGTATCCAATAAATTTGTGTGCATATTAAATTACAACACGATTACAACAATTGTATGCAAACACAATTAATGCATACAAATCAAACTCTGAAAAATAATAAAATATTAAAAATAATAATATATGTCCAAGCATAGTATACTATGTAATACAATACAATATATATATATATATATATATATATATATATATATATATATATATATATATATATATATATATATATATATATATATATATATATGAAACATACACCATTGGCCATTAATTAGAGCATTCTTACTTATATATCCTGTTTACTTAAAATTACTTTAAAAACTAGTTAGCTTTTTAAATATTTTATTATTTCTAATTAATAAGTATCGTGTTTTTTATTTAATAGACAAGTTGTTACCATAAAATTTCATTTATATCCCTAATTATATGTAACTTTATAACATTGACTATATTTTTTTTGTTCGTTAAAAAATTAATGCTTACTGCTTTATTTTTAAAATTAATGTAATATATTTTTTAATAATTTAATTTGATTTTCA